TACTTTCCTGCCCTCTATCGTAGGTTTTCATAATTTGACCTTTCAAATGCGCCGAGGACTCAACAACGCCGCCGTTTTTTTTCATTACGGACCATAAGTTGCACGAATACTACTTTTCAAGAACCGACGTTCTGTACGCACGTGAGCATCATCCAAATTTCCTTAAAATCCGTGGCATACAATCGAGACCGCTATTGCTTTGAATGAGGAAACAGTCCACGACTCACAACGTGGATCGTTCGCGTACAGAAGAACCTACGAGGACATGACGACCTTGTTGTATGCATGTCGGCATGGTACTGACATCAAGCGTGAGCACCGCCTGAATAGTACAATACTCTACCAATCCTGATATGGAAGCGGAAAAATTTGTGAGTGGCAAAAACCAACACCATTCGAGACCAGCACTCGAAGGTTATCGTGTGACAAATGCTGTAGCAACAGAGAAGGGTAAGAATTACAGATAGCATTCCTTTAAATCCAGCAGCGAAAATGGTGGTAGATTAAAGGGTAAAGGGCAGGTGTTCTGCATGATTAGGAAAAATGCGCTGCAGGTAAAGAAACGAGACAAAACGCGTCGCCCCTCGTCCTTCCAATCCTTCAGCCACGTATCCAACCGTGGCCTAGATCTGGACCGAGAACCGAGTTATGCTAGCATAGGAACAAAACAGAACAACTTACCATCGTCTGTAGCTCCTCATCGTCACGCCTCGACAGCGGACGGTACCTGAGCCAACGTATCTCCTCATCTGCACGCCTCAGTGGCGGACGGTACCTGAGCCAACATATTTCCTCATCTGCACGCCTCAATAGCGGACGGTACCTGATCCAACATATTTCCTCATCTGCACGCCTCAATAGCGGACGGTACCTGAGCCAACGTATCTCCTCATCTGCACGCCTCAATAGCGGACGGTACCTGAGCCAACATATCTCCTCATCTGCACGCCTCAATAGCGGACGGTACCTGAGCCAACATGTCTCCTCATCGGCACGCCTCGACACATGGACAATATCAGCACAATATCAGCACCGAAACGTATCTCCATTGCCAGCGGATTGTGTAACAGGGCTGAAATTCTGGACGATTGGCAACACGTGCCTCGGCGAAGCCTCTCCACTGCCAGCACACTGTGACAGACTGGACCAGGTGTCTGCGAGATGTTTGCAACTGTGCTGAGGTCATTGCGATATGGTTGTCCGACGCAGGCGAACAAATCTGATGGAATAGGCACTTTTCATAGACGTGATAATGCCCGATAAATGTCTAGGTGCTTTTCTGGCAAAGCGAAATGTAAGAGGACATGTGTTGAGCTGCGATGTCTGGGCTAGGGCGTCAAGGTACTTTTCGCGCATATGCAAGTCAGGATTTGCTTTTGTGAAAGGCTAATGCAAGCCTTTCGGCGTGGCCGTACGGGCGAAATTTTTACAAACTGTTCTTACAACTCGAAGTTATAGTTTTAAATAATGATTCTAAGATCACGCAATGAGTAGTTGAAGTTACCAACTTTGTGATCCTGTTACATTCCCTTACTGCAACCTATTCTCTATCTAAGTGATCGGAAGCACGAAACAAAATCAATGAGCCGGATTACTTGTTTCCTGGCATGCCAGTACGGATATAAATTGCGCAATAATAGCGAAGCGTAATGTCCAGATTAAGATTGTATCACCCTCAGGGAAGCTCCTGCCTTTGTGATGAAGTCAGCAGGTTTCCAGGACATGGCTGGGGGCTGTGAAACTAGCCCGAACGGGCTCAAGTACGCGAGCTCGCCACGAGTTCTGGCCTTCACTGGTTCGGTCATGCTGAACACGGGCCGGCTCATACAGCCCAGCACGCGCAGTTGGAGCGGAAGAGGCCACGAGCGACTGTCGGTGACCATGACGCATCGTTCATTAAAGGAGATGGGCTCGGCAGACAAAAGGTCACGAGCGACTGTTAGTGACCATGACGCATCGTTCATTAAAGGAGATGGCCTCGACAGACAAAAGGTCACCGGCGACTGTTGGTGACCATGACGCATCGTTCATTAAAGGAGATGGCCTCGGCAGCCAAAGGTCACGGGCGACTGTTGGTGACCATGACGCATCGTTCATTAAAGAAGGTGGGCTCGGCAGACAAAAGCCCTGTATAGTTCAATATCTTCTAGAGGTTTCACTAGCGTGCTTTTTTAAATATGTCCTAAACAAGGGACACTCCCTTTAATGCCTTTCTTTTTCAATGCATTGGTGTGCTCCGTCTGGGAATTTGGGGCTTTCTGTGGGAATGATAAGCTTTTTGAGGTCGCCAGCGGGGGCGGGCAAAAAAAAAACTATATTATCTCCCCCCCCCCCTCTTGCAAATGGTTTGAAACCGGCTGCCATCCATGTCTTATGGTGGCACTGTCTTTGTCTGGGAGTCCATCTAAAGGCTCTCCATGAGTCAGTCACCTGACTAAAGGGTTCTATCCCCATGTTTATCCATGTTAGAAGTGACAGTGACAGGAGTGACAGAAGTTACTTTGGGATATCATTCTTCTCCAATGTCAAAATCACCGGCATTGATAAAGAGTGATAATACAACAATGATACGTTATTAAGAGGGCCGACGAGCGTAAATGGATATCCTATGTGAGATAGCTTACATCTGCCCTCATTCGTTGCTGTGGGACAGGTAGTGACCTATGATTGGCGTAAGCCTTGTCTTGCGCGCCCTCACGAGTCACGGCTCAATTCGGTGACCTGACACATACTGCACTTAGGCATGTGCTGCCAGTGGATTTGGCTCGGTGGTGACACAATTTGGGGCTAAAATCCTCAAGAGCCGTGGAAGATAAAAGCCTGCAGATCAGGACGGTTGAAAAAAATGTGAAATTTCCAACACAGCTTAAGCAAGCGGCTTGCCCGAAGCTCACAAAAACGACGCTTTTTCAACCTCCGCTAGGCTCTGTGCTACTATCGCCAGGCGCCGTATAGTGTTCTGTGATGGTGAACCTTACAGTTCATCCTTTTCGTTCGCAGCCCATGATGGGTTTGTTATGGGCTGCATACTACAAAGATGAACCACAGGACACGGCGCTACTGTACACTACACGGCACCTGTGGATGAGAACATGCTTCAAAATCATATGTTATCAACGTGTCATCTTCATCACCTAGCCTGAATTTCACAGCGTTAGCTTCCGGCATGTTACGTGGTCCAAGAAATGTTACTGTGGAAGGGAGTGAAAGGCAGCCACCACTCAGTTTCGAGTAAAACGAAGCAGAGCAAAAAAGCACAACCACCGGCTGCGGTACAACTGCACCTGATGAGTTATCTGTTGTCGGCGAGTAGTACTGCGCCTCTGCATGGAGTCCCCCATGCACACAATCAAGACACCAAGTATGTAATGCACGCGTGTTGGTAGCACATACACGTCACATCGTTCCTCGTCATGGTCTTCATGCCGCGTCACATTTCACGGCTGGGCTGAGCGCGGAGCATCTAATTCCCGGCGAGTCGTGACTCGTTTTACGGGTCAGTGAACAATCGTGTCTACGTGTTTTTTTTGGGGGGGGGGCCCGCCTGCCCGTTTATCTTCCGTGTGGCTTCCGGATTGCGGTCGGGCCCGCAGTGTTCTGAGGCCAGCCGACAGTTTACGGCACATGTCAACAAACGAAATGCAACAGCGTGCAACTTTACGCCCCGGATCTGAGAACTGGTCAGCCTGAAGAAAAAGTTACGTGAACCTAAATGAGAACATCAGAATGAGACGGAGCGCGCAGGCGCCAGAGATGGTCGGGAGGGAAGATAGTATGGTGGACGCGGGGACGAAAAGATCATCACAACGCTGGTGCAGGAATACGGCGCGCAACAGGCAACCGTGCTTAGCAGTAAAAAAAACATTTGCATTAAAAACGCTACACAATGTCATCAAACCCAACATCACGGAGCAGCACTTGTTTCTGAGCGAGGTTTTAAGAAAGCGGCTGGATGATCTAGAACGATCTGAATGGTCTAAATGGTCTGAATGACCAGAGGAACAGGCTGAAATGTACTTGATGTACTACAGCACTGAATTGAAGGAATTAACTGAAGTATCTAACTGAAGTTTTAGCTGAGTTACTTGGCTGAAGTGCTGAAGTACCTGATTGAAATGTGCTCAAGATAGTCCGGGAGGATTGTACTACACCGCATGCTTCCAAACTGGCCGTCGAATGGATCCACGATCACTTTGGGTGGCTTGTTACGTCGCGCAAAACAATACACCCAAGCTCGGAGCATCCGTCCCATCAGACACCCGAGCTCGGATCATCCGTCCCATTAGACACCCGAGCTCGGAGCATTCGTCCCATCAGACACCCAAGCTCGGAGCATCCGTCTCATCAGACACCCGAGCTCGGCGCATCCGTCTGATCAGACACCCGAGCTCGGAGCCTCCATCTCATCAAACACCCACCGGAGCATCCGTCTCATCAGACACCCAAGCTCGGGGCATCCGTCCGACTAGAGACCCCTTTATGTTTTTTTTTCAGTGGAGATACCTGAGAGCGGGACTTATGCAGATGACCCGCAAACTATGAAAGAACGCCACTGAACGCTCAGCTCAGAGACACAGGAGACAGAAATTATCTTAAACTGGGCGAGGGCGCCACGTCATTGGCATCACCTTTCTTACCGGCAAATACTGGCCTTTGCTAAGAGTGGGGGACATGTGTCGCCTCTCCCTCCCTTCCCGCCGTCTTCCTTTAGCGGCAAGGACGCATTGCAGCCGCTGCAGACGATCTCGAGACAAACTAGCTTAGCGTACAACCGCTTCCCAGCTTTGCGATCCATGCGGCCTCTCCCCTCTCCTTTGAAGTGGTCACATGAGTCACCCGACTTCCAGCTGTGGTCACGCGACAAGGCGCGGGGCATGCCCCGACCTGGCGGCCCGGCAGCCTCTCTAGATGTCGCCAGCATCGCTCCGTGACCGCCCGAGGCGCGTGCGGCGCCGTCAAGAGAGCGGCGCCCGGGCGGGCCGGGTCAGTGCTGCCGCGCGCGCCGACCGCAAAGCATACACGCACGCACGCAACGGAACCATGACCTCTTGGGGCTACAGCACCAAGAACGGGCCGGATACGTGGGTGAGTCGGTTCCCACTGGGCGGCGGCCAGCGCCAGTCGCCTATCAACATCGAGACTGCAACGACGCTGTCCGACCGCGCCATCGACCAGCAGCCGCTGGTGATCCGATACGAGCCGGCCGCGCCGCAGCCGCTCACCAACACCGGCACCGGCTGGCGCGTCGACTTCGACTCGGGCAGCTCGACGATCAGCGGCGGCCCGCTGCAGGGCGAGTACGAACTGGCGCAGTATCACTGCCACTGGGGCCGGCAGAACGAGCGCGGCTCGGAGCACACCGTCGACGGCCGCCGCTACGCCGCCGAGCTGCACCTGGTGCACTTCAACAAACGCTACGGCAGCTTCGCCGCCGCCGCCGATAAGGAGGACGGCCTGGCCGTCATTGGCTTGTTGCTGGAGATCGGCACCGAGAACCCCGAGCTGCGCAAAGTCACCGACAGCCTGTCGACGATCCAGTTCGCCGGCAGCAGCGTACGAATCGCCGCCACCGACCCGGACCTCTTCCTGCCAGACACGACGCGCTACTGGACGTACGAGGGCTCTCTCACCACACCGCCGCTGTACGAGAGCGTCACCTGGATAGTCTTCAGCCAGCCCGTCACCATCTCGCAGGTATACAGGTCGTTTGCAACGAGCCGAGCTCATCAGGTCGCAGGTCCCGTGAGCGGCGCTTTCCTGCGGCCGGCTTTGTAGCCCCCACATGTCTTTGCATGTGATACGGGGCGTCCCCGTATTTCGTGCGAGTAGTATTTTGTCTGTGGTCGTTTCCTTACACGCGGCAGCGATCATCACGCATGATGTAGCTTGTTTTCTCGGCGGACAAGCGATATATCAGCCGCTCTTTTTCTGTGCCTCGTTGACGACATTCCAGCCTCCGGCCGACGCCTTATCCCTAATCGCATTACCTGCCGTAAGCTCTCCTCTGACATCACTTCGCAAAGACGCCTACCCGTCCCGCGCCGACCTGTGACGTCACGCAGCGCTGACCCTGCTCTGACCCGGCAGGACCAGCTGGACCAGTTCCGGCACCTGAAGAGGCGACCGTGCGACAGCGCGCCGGCCGACGACAGCGACGATGACGACGGCGTCATCGCCGACAACTTCCGGCCGCCACTGCAGATCGGGTCGCGCACCGTGCGCAGCGCCGCTCTGTCGCTCCGGACCCGACACTGAGGCGGCCCGCCGGGCGCAGCGCCGCTCTGTCGCTCCGGTCCCGACACTGAGGCGGCCCGCCGGGCGCAGCGCCGCTCTGTCGCTCCGTTCCCGGCACTGAGACGGCCCGCCGGGCGCCGCCAGGCAGCGGGGTCAGGTGGCCAAAGGGACGACACTCGAGGCGGGACGGGTCACCGTGTGCAGAGCCTCCCCGCCTCTCCGTTCGTGGCGTTCACGAGGCTTTCGGCCACCAGGTCACGCCACAAAAGAGTTAACGGGGGTGGAAATGTCACAGGACTGGCACGCCTCTGTGCACAGCGTCTCCTCCCGCTCCGGTCGCGGCGGTGAGCAGAGGCCGGGGTCAGGTCACAGCGACGCTATCCGGTTGCGCTGCGCATGTCAGATCGCTGAAACCAGGTCGACGAAATCGCTAGAAGGACCACGTGTGCTGGATCAAGTTATTGGCGTCTGTTAAGAGTGCTCGAGGCGCTGTTGTTGGTCGCCCCAGAGGTAATATTTAGTTTAGTATAATGTTATGCAATGGCTGCGTAGTATCGAATGCGACCCCTAAATAATGTCAGTGTAGACTAGCTTTATTACCTTGACATCCCGGCGATGAATACCGACGGGTTCGCAGTGTGTAAACTGTAAGGAGTAGCTAGTGCCTTCGCCTCAAAGTTGGCCGCGGAGTGTGCCCGCAGGCGCCCCGCTTCGGCAGTGTTTTGCATTGTTGGATGGCACGTGTTACGCAGCCGTCACGAGGCGCTATACCCACAATGCACAAATGTTGTGGCGGTTCGACACGCTACAGTCGCCTTCCACGACACTGCTGCAGAGCGGGAAGACGCAGGTGTTGTTGATGGTGCAGGGGCGTACGGCGGAAGCGTGGGGCGGCCCAGCGGGCCAGCCATGTATTTTCGTAGTCACTTCCCACAGACGCGTGAATCCCTGCTTCGACCGTGCTTCGCCCCTCTGCTGTTATTTAGATGACCGCGGCCGGTGCCTGCTGAAACGGTGAGGATCTGCTTTGCTATCCACGTTGTACAGCACCACGCACAATACAGCACGGTCCTGGAATCGCGTTGACGCCGCGCCGCGCAAAGCCAATATCAGCTGCGTAGGTTGCGCGCCTCGCCCTTTCGCTTGAACGAGGGTTCAACTTCAGAGATCCTGACGCCACCACATGCCGTCATTCGGGATCCGGGATCACTGCTCACGACATTCCAGGATCAGCGGTGGAATGGAACGCGCTGGTCTGCAGCGTAGCTCGGGACGTTTGCGAGGAGCCCGTGATTATTGCGCGATTCGCAGTATACGAGGCGCATGAGATACCGGTGGCGCTGAGATGAGAGTTTATGCGCTGGTGCTCGCGTCTCTAATTCGCTCGAACTTAGGTACATAAAGCCTTTCAATGCCTTACGGCCTATGTAATTGAATCGTCTATCGGAAAATTGTGAGAAAAAGAATGTTCGTAAACCAGACGAATTCCCGAAAGGCGTAAACTTTGAAAAGCACTGTCAGATCACCATTCTGTATGGAATATCTTGCGCGCATTGGCTTAACGCCGACGGGCTTGTCCTCTGACAGCAATACAGCAATGGTGCAGGCTGCATGTTTAGAGGACGAGCTTTGCAAGGGACGTAGATGACTATCAGACAGGTTATTTGCTCGCCGAGATATTGTTATGTAGCGGCCCGGGTGCGCCTGCCACGTTCACTTCCAACTGTCAACTCAATGCATACGAACCCGACACACGGGCAGGTGCAAAAGGGTGCAAGTAGAGCTCGCAGTCCCGCCGTCCAGCCATACACCACGTGCGGTGTGCATCTCACCACGTCACCTGTTCAGTCCAGCAGCCCAGAAGGGCGTCTCCCATTCGTGAGGCGACCTTGAGCCACTACCGCGCTACCCGGCGGGGATGCCGCCGACCCTACGTGGAGAATTATCTCTCGATCTGTTCAGAACAGGTCCGGTTGCGCAAAGCCCACCACAAACAGCAGCATCCCGGCTCTCATTGTGCGCAGTTGGCAGCAGGCCACGAACTTGGGTGTATTGCTAATACCCTGTCCGAAAGACCGGTAAAAACTTGCGAAAACCTGGCATAATTTAAACGGAGCAAGATTGTCCTGGGATCAATGCAGCAGAGGTGATGATAGTTGGTTTAGTTCAGCTGTTGGCCAGCCGAGAATGTGACCAACCTCACGTGAAGGCTGAACCGTCAATTTGCGCAGGAAATGTCAAACTACATGCCTTCTTTCGCTTCCATTTACTTGTTCATCTTCCGGCGTTAGTGCTAGTCAGCAACCTTCCGTCGCAGCCCCACCCCAAATGTTTTCCAAAGTGAATCTGGAGCGGCGATCAAATCGATCTTTCTTTTCATCTGGTCGAAAAAGTACCCGTCTTCGGTTGGTCCCAATAGCAATCCGTGTGACGTGTCTGAAAAACGCCACGACTGGCGGGCTGCAACAACCGGAGGAGAGCGTGCTGGAGCACAGCAAGGGTCGGAGATGACACCGCTGTAGCACCGTTACGACCAGACGTGACGGTGCTTTGGCAAAGTAACAACCGCGTAAGACCACGCCGGATCCCAGCAGCAGCCGGAGAAGGCTGTCCTAGAGCAATGTAATAACCGGAGCTAACGGTGCAAGGCACAGTAACAGCCGGATATGATTGTGCCGGAGCACTGCAGCAGCCGAAGACAGAGATTCGGAATACCGGGCCTACAAAAAGTAACTCGAGAAGACTGATTTAAAGGACAATATTAAACTGGGTCCGCATTACTAGAGCTCAGTGACAGCTGGGGCTGACAGTGCTGGAGCTAAGCGGCAGCTAAAGATGACAGCACCGGAGCACGGTGACAGCTAAGATGACAGTGCCGGAGCACGGTGAGAGCTAGAGCTGACAGTGATGGAGCCCGGTGGCAGCTGGAGCTGAGAGTGCTAGAGCTACGTGGCAGCTAGAGCTGACAGTGCTGGAGCTCGGTGGCGGCTGGAGCTGACAGTGCCGGATCTCAGCGACAGCTAGAGCTGACTGTGCTGGAGTTCGGTGGCAGCTGGAGCTGAGAGTGCCAGAGCGGGGCAGCTGGAGCTTGAGAGTGCCAGAGCTGACGTGGACATCGTGGATCTGGACAGTGCCGGAGCTAAGTGGCGGCTGAGCTGACAGAAATGGGCTCAGTGGCGGCTGGAGCTGACCGCGATGGAAGCTAGAGTGGCACTACAAGCTGACCAGTGATGGATCTCAGTGGCGGCTAGAGCTGACAGTGCTGGAGCTCGGTGGCGGCTGGAGCTGAGAGTGCTAGAGCTACGTGGCAGCTGGAGCTGACAGTGCCGGAGTTAAGTGGCAGCTAGAGCTGACAGTGATGGATCTCAGTGGTGGCTAGCGCTGACAGTGCTGGAGCTCGGTGGCAGCTGGAACAGTAGCGACCGGAGCGGTCGAGTTAACAGCCCCTGACTGGTTCGACCCAGCTTCGTTACTCAGTAGGCAGCGGCTCCAGCACGATAGAACTTGCCCGGCCTTACGCATGTGGGCCAGGGAGAGAGAGGGGGAGCACGTGCATCTGTCTGCCCTAGGGTCACTAGTAGCGTGCCTAAATGGAAAACACAGACAGGAAGTAGACGTCATGTAAATGTGCAATTGCGCCTGTGCACTAGTCATTCCCTGAGCTCAGGCACCGTCAAGCAGATTATACGAACCACATTAGGTCGTATGCTCGAAGCCCTCTGCAAGATTCCCTGATTTGCCTAATGTCAAGGAGAGCGGCTTTATTTAGAGGCGCATAGCCTTGGGACGCCGCGAATTCAGCATTGATGTGGTGTAGCGACCATAGAAGCATTGCAGAGGGTTTTCAAAGACGCGCAGCTGAGCTGCACCGAATGCTGTCATTTAAGGCGATGGATGCTGCTTGTATGGCGCTATCAGGGTTGTCATATCGCATGGAATTGGAATGCCCCCCCCCCCCCCCGGCCGAATTTTTCCGCCAGCCCACTCGATAATCTAGAAAGGGAAGTGGTCAAATGAGTGAAACACTTGGACCATATGCAAGGGACCATGATGGCGCGTGTTAAAGATCATGACCTCTCTCCTTCTTGGAGGTGGTGGACCCCTTAGAGCCAATGGCCAAAGCACTTTTTGGCAGTTTATGACACGAGGTTTCTAAAACATCCATAAAGGGTCCCACAGACGGTTTAATCACAGGATCCCGAGCCTGAAAAGGTTCCCGATTTCGAACGCAGGGTTACTACATTATAAAAGGGCTCCCGTTCACTGGAAGTGGCTTCCTATGACCCGACTTTGCTTCTCCTGGGCGGGATCCTGGCCGCGCCACTGAGCAGATGCTCCGCGCGCGGCCGAGCCTCCGACCCGGGGAAGGACGGACGGCGCTGCAAAATGGAGCCGGTCTGGAGAGCTGCAGCCTTAGCAACGTGGTCGGCCTATCACGCAAACAACGGCTTAGCTTCATACGCATCGCAGGGCGACCGCACGCAGAGCACGCTCAGTGAGCTGGACAAGCGCCAGCTTAACTGAGCAAACTTAAGTCAACTGAAGGAGTCATTCTGATCAAGCAGACAAACGACAGCTCAGCTAGTATGCTCAATTCGCGTCTTCATGCCACGAAGCAGCGCGCTTGATCTATTAAACGCCGTCCCAGCTCCAAATACGGTACATTCGATTGAAGCGGCGTGGAAGGTCAGTCGGAAAAGCTGTGGCTTAAAGACATATTCACACACGCCACCATTCCCCAGCTGGCCGGGCGGACGGGGCGCTTGCCATTGTCAACATTCAACCCAACACACTACTTACAGATGGATGCAGCAGCTTCGCTGTGTCCTGGGGTACGTCCCAGACAAGTTTGCGGAAGGCGTAGCTCACTGTGTACGCCTTACAGGCGCGGCTACTGAGTGGGGGAGACCGCTGACGGCCGTGTTCGGTATCGGAGCAGCAGGGCCAGTAGATTACAGGTGCCAATTGGCGGCGATCAAGCCCGTGATAAACACGATCAGATCGGCACTGAGGACGGTGTGTGTCAACA